GTAGCCCAGGGCAGGGACCATACCCAGCAAAAAGCCTGGATGCAGCTGCAGTTGACTGAGAAGCAGTGCAGATGGGAGTCAAGCTGGATCTCTTGGCCTCAGGGACAAAAACTAGACTTTGTCCCATTGATTTAATCATGTAGATGGATCCAGCGTGTTTGCAGATACATTGTTGGGGATTATCTGTTGTGGACTGACTGCACTTGGTGACCTCTTTGAAGGCAAAGGGTCTCAGCTGTTCACCTGCTGGCATCCCTGGGTGGGCGACACTTGCCCCGTTGGCACAGGGAGTCCAGCCTTTGTGGTTTTCTCTGCTTACCTGGGTGAGAGCTCCGCATCCGAAGCTCCGCTGTCACTGGCTGGGTCAGCACAGGCAGGAACCAGGAAGCTTCTCCAAAACACACCATTGTTTGTCTTCAACTGTAGGGATTACTGAGGCTATTAATCTGTCACATACAATGTCTTCATGTCCCCTGTGTTTGGTCCTGCCAGAACCTCTTTGTTCTGTCCGTGCTACAACCTCACATCCCCTTCTCGCATCGTGTGTGCCACCCAGAACAATTCTTAATCCACAGCTTTGTGACTGTTTTCCATCGTTTTGCCATACTCATTTGTTTAATTTATGTTAATTACCCCTGCTGAGCTTAAGTTCCTTATGGTCCTGGCTTTCAGGGGTACAAAAGTCTTGAATTTTCCACCTGCCTGAAGCCTCTGGTGCTATAGGATCCTTCAACTTGGCTTCCCGTGGTGCTGGGAAACTCAGATCTTTCTCCTCCACAGCCTTGAATAAAATTGCATCTGGGGACACCTGGGCTTCTGTCCTTGTAGGACAAGTGTGTTCTCCCTGGGCTAACCAGCGTGGCTGGGCTGTGTTCATGCCAGAGAAATCCTTTTGCCGCCAAGGAGTGGCCACACGCAGACTACGCGTAGGGAACGGTTGCTTGCCTTGCTGACTCCCAAATTGCAGCTGTGTCACTGTTGGCATAGCGTTAGCTGGATCATGCCAAAGCTGGGCCATGGACCGTTCCAAAGTTCAGCCTCTAGGTGAATTAAATCCAGAGCCTGTTCCCTCGTATTGTTTAAGTTACTAGTATACGTGTGGCCTGTGCCACGGGGAAAGAGCAAAAAGTCTCAGATTCTCAAGTGCGGGATTTGGAGGCAGAGCAGTTGAATGGCTGGTGAGGAGCCGTGAGACCTCAGGCTGCCTGTGTCACCCTGGGGTGAGCAAGCCATGAATTATGGCCCCCATCCCTCATGCTACAATATATTTTTTTGCTCTCACCTGTGCTGGAGTGCTCCCAAGTCTACAGGAGGCACCTGGATACACTTCAGGTGACCTCCAGCTCTGTCCCAGGAAACACACACCTGCTGGTTGAAGGCCTGGAAATGTAAAATCTTCCACCCTTTATTGCCCATTTACCATCCCCTTACCCACCCAAAACACCCCAAACCTGCATTAAAACTCTTTCTGTGAATTTAATTCCAGACCAATGGTCCATATTTACAGCTGAATGTATTTAAGCCTGATAATAACACATAATGGCTTTTCTATATCCCAGCCAAGTGCAGCCAAGCTCGATGCGAGATCAATTCACTCTGGCCATAGCAAACAAACACCCTCTTCATGTCCACAGACCGTGATGTACAGTGCCTGCTCACCTGGGCTGGAGACGCTCCAAAGCATGGTCTGCGGTGCCGTACACAGGAGGGATTCCCCAGACAGTCTTGCTCAAGCACTCGTCTACTCTGAAGCTCATGGTGATTGCTGAAGTCTCCAGTCTTCAGCTCAAGATCCTGGAAAGGTGACTAGGAGATGTGGCCTGGCATGGCGATGGAGGTAGCTGTGTCGTGAAGTCTGTCAGCTGGCAGGAGGACTTGCAGACCTGATGTCTCCACCACCACTCTGTGCCAGCTTTGCCCATTCTTCCTAGACAGAGCTGTCCTCCTGCATCGCAAGGTAGAGGAGAAAGCATATCGCAAGCAAATCCTGCAGGTTGAGACTGGTAAACGAAGCAGACTAGTGTGTGTGGAAAGGTGCTTTAGGTGGTAAGATATGCTTTAATCACAAGCAATATCCGGGCTGTGTTATTTGACTATTCCTTAATTTATCAGAGACCTCAGTCCTGGCTTTATTTCAGCCTTTATTACTGGGTGACGTGTTTCTGGTGGTAGCAGCTGGCACACGCAGCTCAAGACACAGAGGAGCATTTGGAACACGGTGCTGATCCCTCCCTGCGGTGGCACTCTCCTTTCTTCTCTTTTCCTGGTTGTGTCATCCACTTCAGCGCTCACCTCCGCAGCACACTTTCTCACCAGGACCAAGACTGGAGGTGAGTTGCGGTAGTCCTTTCTTTTTTCGATGGTTATTGGAGGAGGAACCTGACTTGGGCTGCGCGAGAGAGGCACTGGGTACAGGAGGAAGGGGGTCTCCGGTCATCTGTTTTACCTCGGATTGCAGGGAGGCGTTGCTTCCCTCTGTATTTTCATATCGTGTCTGTCAGTAGTGTAGTACTGCCGCTACACAAAAGGTGGAAGGTACTGCACCCACCAGCTTCTGCTGGAAATCCTGTTGTTGTGGGGGATCTTTTAGCTACCTGTAAGACCACGGTGGAGTGCAGGCTGGTGCTATATAGGTTTCCTTGGGAAAGGGTTTGGGTTGGAACGGACCATTCAGTGCCACCCCCTGCCATGGGCAGGGACACCTCCCACCAGCCCAGGTTGCCCAAAGCCTCATCCAGCCTGGCCTTGAACCCCTCCAGGGATGGGGCATCCACAGCTTCTCTGGGCACCCTGGGCCACTGCCTCACCCCCCGCACAGGAAAACATTTCTTCCTCACATCTCATCCCTATCTCCCCTCTTGCAGCTTCAAACCGTTCCCCCTCGGCCTGTCCCTGCACCCCCTGATCCAGAGCCCCCCCAGCTCTCCTGGAGCCCCCTTTCAGCACTGGAAGCTGCTCTAAGGTCTCCCCGGAGCCTTCTCTTCTCCAGGCTGAACAACCCCAACTCTCTCAGCCTGTCCTCATATGGGAGGTGCTCCAGCCTCTGACCATCTTTGTGGCCTCCTCTGGACCCGTTCCAACAGGTCCAGGTCTTTTTTTTTGTGTTGGGGGCCCCAGAGCTGAACGCACATTGCATGTAATCAAGACTGTCCTGTTAGACATTCCCAATTATTGGAAAAGCAGCAAGACCTGGGCTTTGGGACACAGAGAGCAACCCTACGCCCTTAGAGACCACAGCAAGTGGCTCAGTAAAAGCAATGGGGTATTGCAGACTTGAAAGACTGTGACTATTATCTGGTACAGAGCAGCAGGATGTGGTGACAAAAGTGCTGGTGGTGGTGCTATGATGGAGACTGATGGAAGCTGGAAGTCAGCCCACTGGCCTGTTCTTCTGGTTTGTGTCTTTTCTGGGGAAATGCCCTTCGTGTCTCTATTGTGCTCACACCCATGTTTTTCAGAAGTTGGCATTTTGCCCTGGTTTCCAACATTCACTGGCAGCATTTCCTGTGTCTTGCAGCCCCGTGCAAAGTCCAAAACCTGCCCCAGTGCTCCTGTTGTCCTGCGGGGCTGGGCTGGGATGCGGGGGCTCGTCTTTGTACATGACAGGATTTGTGTGGGGGGTCCCTTGGTGGCTTCCTTGGAAGGGTCTCTCTGCTCCTGGGTATGTTCCGACTTCTCCGTGCCCCCCACCTTTTGGTACCTCTCTGCCCTCGTGCAGTTTCTGGTCAAGTGAGGGACCCCCACCCTGGCCATCTATGTTTTTATGCCTATATTTTTTTAATCTCTGTAGCTCTATAAATGTGTGTATATATATAAAAATATAGGCAGAACGATACACATATAGAAGAATATATAAAACAGTGTATCTGTAGCTCAATAAACACATATATTTATACATATCTGTACACTTCTTTATATATACTTCTCTATATTTTTGTACAGAAGTGTGTATATTTTTGTATATGAGCATTTCCCAGTTCAGAGGAGGCAGGCAGCCAATCACAGGGCTGATTCCTGGTCCAAAGGAAGTGGTCAGCCAATCACAGGGCTGATTCCTGGCCCAAAGGAAGTGGTCAGCCAATCATCACAGGGCTGATTCCTGGTCCAAAGGAAGTGGTCAGCCAATCACAGGGCTGTCTGAGAGCGTGTGGGGAACTACGCTGTCAAAGACGGCGGGTGTCCTGTGGGGAGGCCATGGGGAGGCCATGGGGTTCCTTTTCTGGTGTTCCTCAGGTTACAGCAGCAGCTAGTCCTGCCGGCCAGTCACGGGGCTGCCCGAGAACATGTGGGAATGACGGTGCCGAGAGATGGCTGCTGGCCGGGCACAGGGCAGGGGGATATTTTCCCAAAGCGGGCAGCTCCCTCCCCAAAATGGC